AAATTTACAGTTTTATATAGGTTAAATCCTCATTTTGGTCCCTGAACTATTGTACGGACCCCCAATTTGGTCCCTAAACTAAAGAAATCCCTGATTTGGTCCTTAAACTATTGTATGGACCCCCGATTTGGTCCCCACTGTTTATAATTTGGCCTAAGTTGGTCCTTGAACTATTGTACGGACCCCTAATTTGGTCCTTATTGTTTACAATTTCACCCCAATTTGGTCCATGAGCTATTATTTAACAGAATGACCAAGTTGGGATTAAATTAGTAAACAGTATGGACCAAATTGGGCATCCGTACAATAGTTTAGGGACTAACCTAGGAGTCCGTACAATAGTTTAGGGACCAACTCAGGGTCCGTACAATAGTTCAAGGATCAAATTAGGGATTTTTTTAGTTCAAGGACCAAATCGGGAGTCCGTACAATAGTTCAGGGACCAAAATAGGGGTTTAACCTTTTATATAATATTGTAACTATCATATTATTGATATATATATTGTATACTGCATAGCATTTATTCCATAATATGTTTATATCTTACTGGTGCACTTGGGTAAATTGGAAAATTTTGGTAATGAGCATTAAGGATACGAATATTTATGATGTCAGATTCATGCTTGCCTAAATAAGAGAATATCTTCTATCTTTAATTAGATTTGTAAGTTAGATTAAACTTCCTCGATTCCACCACAATGTTTTTTTTTTTAATGAAAAATAGAAAAATATATTAAGTAATAAAAAATTACAGCAGAATTTTCATCTCACGAAATCAAAATAGCCTAAAGATAAAATCAAAAGCATGACCTACAACACTAATAACAGATTTAAACTATGCTCATGACAAAGGTAGACAATTAAGTAAAGAGAATCATCTATAACTAGAGATTGAAATTACAATCGTCATATGGGCTAACTAGGGCTACTAATATAGAAAGAAGAGTCACTATGAGCATTAAGAATTGCTTGACATCCTCAATGGGGAGAGTAAAAAATTCCAACAACAAATAGTCCCCAACCCACAAGTTGCCACCTTACTTATTCTTAAAAAAGAACAACCAAGAGGGGTATGGGCCTTCGCCAAACCCCCTAGTAGCCTTTATAAACTCCCAATCATGTTCCCAGCTTTGCTGATCCTTTTCAAACCTATACTGTCAAAACTCATTAAGGGAACTAGAGCCCATTTGCTGACTTGAAAATTAGGCCTCCCACGTAGACCATAGCCAGCCTTACCAACAGCATCCCTTTCCTTTGGCAATTGGCTAGCTGATCGGGAACTGGTGTGAACCAGATTCGCTAAATTTGATCCCACCAAAATCTCATCCAAGGAGATGCACCAAAACGAGATTCTTACCCATTAAATAAGAGAAACCCACTTCACCGACAAGATCAATTCCAATTCCAATTCCAATCACAGCCTTCAAAAATCAACAAATGTAAACTCTAGAAAATTCAAGTAAGCCACTGTCTTGTGGTCCCTTGGGTTGGAGTTTCCAAAGCAAGATAGCAGCAAGATGAAGGAGGAGATCAAGAGAATGAAAGGAAGGGTAAGAAAAAAGAAGGGATGAAGGAACTCCTTTTTTGGAGAGAAACCCTAGGGAGAAAACCCGTCGCCACTACTCTAAACCCTAGAAATAATGCACGGGAGAGAAAAAATTACCACAATGTTATTTTTTAAAGGTTAAACTACAAACATTATATTTTATATTATTAAAATAAAAAGAGTACTCTAACATATATATATTATTAATCATATACAAAACCAAACCATTATAATCGTTATTTATTTATTTTTTTCACAGATTATGAATTTGAAGAAAACTTGTGTTTTTACCTATATCTTTATAAAATTTAATGAAAAAAAATATTTTGATGACAGGTTTGAAAGACTATTGTTGTGGGATGGGAAAGTAAATATTTTCCTATTGTAATGACTTGTTG